ATATGAAAAGGTGTTCAACATCACTGATCATCAGAGAAATGCAGATCAAAACTACAATGCAGTATCATCTCACCCCAGTTAAAATGGCTTTCATCCAAAAGACAGGCAATATACAAATGCTGGCGAGGATATGGAGAAAATGGAAGCCTTGTACATGGTGGGAATGTAAATTAGGACAACCACTATGGAGAACAGTTTGGAGGTTCCTCAAATCACTAAAAATGGAGCTACCATATGATCCAGCAATCCAACTGCTGGGTATATACCCAAAAGAAAGAAAATCAGTGTATTGGAGATATCTGCATTCCCATATTTGTTGTACCACTATTCACAACCGCCAGAATTTGGAAGCAACCTAAGTGTCCATCACAGATGAATGGAAAAAGAAAATGTGGTACTTAAACACAATGGAGTACTATTCAGCCACACAAAAAGAATGAGAACCTGTCATTTGCAATAATATGGATTGAACTAGAGGTTATTATGTTAAGTGAAATATGCTAGGCACAGAAAGACAAATATCACATGTTCTCACTTAGTTGTGAGATGTATAAATCAAAACAGGCTCGGAAGAGTAGTACGGGGTCAGAGGGAGGTGGGGATGATTAATGAGTACCAAAAAATAGTTGAAGAATGAATAATACCTAGCATCTGATGGAAAAACAGGATGACTATAGTCAAAATAACTTAGTTGTACATTTTTTTTTGAGGTGGGGTACTGCTCTGCTGCCCAGGCTGGAATGTAGCAGTGCAATCTTGGCTCACTGCAACCTCTGCCTCCCAGGTTCAAGTGATCCCTCCAACTCAGCTTCCCAAGTAGCAGGGACCACAGGTGTGCGCCACCATTCCTAGTTAATTTTCCGTAGAGATGGGGTTTGACATGCTGTCCAGACTGGTCTTGAACTCCTGGACTCACACAATCTGCCCTCCTCGGCCTCCCAAAGTGCTAGGATTATAGGTGTGAGCTACCGAGCCCAGCCTATACATTTTTAAATAACTAAAAGAATATGACTGGATTGTTTATAACACAAAGGATACATTTCTTGAGATGATGGATACCCCATTTTCCATGATGTGATTATTATGCATTACATGACTATATCAAAATATCTCATGTATCCTATAAATACATACACCTTCTATGTACCCACAAATAAAAAATTTTAATCAAAAAAGAAGATAACAGATGTATAGACATTGTAATTTTCCCCCAAGCTCTCACTTAAGAGTACAGTTAGCTGAAGAGAAAAGATTCCCAAAGGGTTTCAAATTAGAAAACTGTATGCTGCCAGGCGCGGTGGCTCACGCCTGTAATCCCAGCACTTTGGGAGGCTGAGGTGGGTGGATCATGAGGTCAGAGATCAAGACCATCCTGGCCAACATGGTGAAACCCCGTCTCTGCTAAAAATACAAAAATTAGCCGGGTGTGGTGGCACACGCCTGTGGTCCCAGCTACTCGGGAGGCTGAGACGGAAGAACCGCTTGAGCCCAGGAGGTGGAGGTTGCAGTGAGCCAAGATTGTGCCACTGCATTCCAGCCTGGTGATAGAGCAAGACTCCGTCTCAAAAAACAAAACAAAAGAAAACAAAACAAAAACCAAAAAACCTGTATGCTATTCAGTATGGGACTGTGAGAATTTGTGCCAACCTCATCCATTTAAGACCTAAGGAGAAGGGGGGCTGGGTCCCAGGCAGCATCAATAATGAATAAAATCAAGCCAGGTGTGGTGGTATGTACCTATTGTCCCAGCTACTCAAGAGCCTGAGGTAGGAGGATCACTTGGGTCCAGGAGTTCCAGTTCAGCCTGGGCAACATAGCAAGACCCTATCACTCAAATAAAAGAATAATAATTAAGAGAATCTGCAGAGGGAACACAGAGCAATCTGGTCTTCTTGGATAAGCTGCTAGATCCAGTAAACATTAGTATACTGCATAAGACTTTTGGATATAAACCCACCTGCATCTCTTCTACCCAAGACAGTAGTTCATACACAAATCGGAGATTGCCTTCATCCTCAGAGGAGCTGATAGCCACAAGTTCAGCCCGAGTCATAGGCTTTCGGAACCAGGAGGTAGAAGAAGAATGAGTTGCCTTGGTTAAGGGTTCTGCTTTCAGATGAGTAGTGGTTAAAGTAGAGGGTGGAACCAATTCAAGTGAAGTGAAATGGCCCTTCCGGTACAGGTTTGTACACTCTAGACGCAAGGTGACCAGCTCATCCTGCAGGCGCATGACCCTGAAATGGAAGAAGAGAAAAAAGAGAGGGACTTAAGTCTGTAGTATACTTTTAAAAAATAAAATCTTCCATTTGACAAAGATATGATAAAATAAAAATGAGCCAGCCTGGCCAACATGGTAAAACCCTGTCTCTACTAAAAATACAAAATTTAGCTGGGTGTGATGGCACAGGCCTGTAGTCCCAGCTACTTGGGAGGCAGAGGCAGGAAAATCACTTGAACTCAGCAGGCAGAGGCTGCAATGAGTTGAGATCACACCACTGCATCCCAGCCTGGGTGACAGAGCAAGACCCTGTCTCAAAAAATAAATAAAATAAAATAAAAATGAGATCATACAAGGAAGCGTGTTTTGAAAAAGTGTTATATGAATATAGGGTAATAGTATCATCTAGTTCAGAATTGTTTTTAAGACAAATGCCAAATTAGTGTTAATTGGACAATACTATTTATATAATTTCCAAATTGTATAATAATACAAATAATGGATTAGGGGTCAAAAGAAAGACTAGGGGTCCTGGTCTTGGCTCTGTAAAACTAGCCACATGACTTCAGATAATTTTCATCTTCTCTGGGTCTCAGTTTTCTCCCATATAAAAAGAATGTGATGGATCACCGATGTTTCTTTTTTTTTTTTTTTTGCACTCAGAAAATGATTCAGTTCCAATGCAGGATCACCAAGGTTTCTGAATCAGATGTTGTATTGTGTCCCACCCCTGCATGTCCTTCTAAAATATATGGAAATGGACCAGATATGGTGGTTGGTTCACATCTGTAATCCCAGTACTTTGGGAGGCTAAGGCAGGAGGATCACTTGAGCCCGGGCAACATAGTGAAACCCCATCTCTACTAAAAACACAAAAATTAGCTGGGTGTGGCAGCATGTGCTTATGGTCCCAGCTACTCGGGAGGCTGAACTTAGAAGGATCGCTTGAGCCCAAGAAGTCAAGGCTGCAGTGAGCCATGATTGTGCCACTGCACGCCAGCCTGGGTAATAAGTGTGAGACCCTGTCTGAGTGAATTAATTAAAATAAAATATGTGGGATGTTATAAAAAGCCACAATGATTGAAGTAATCCTACAGGTACTTAGTGGGATGGGCCTGCAATAAGGGGAAACTGTCCTCCCCTAAGAGAACATTCCTGCCCAAGATACCTGTAGTATCCCCATTGAGACACTGACCTCAAAGGGCCAAGTTAAAAGATTCAGTGCCTGACTCTTGATCTACTGTTGATCCATGAGCTTTAGCAGTAAGCAAGCAAGCCCTCCATTTGAGTCCCTGTTCCTCACCTAAAAGCCAGCTCTTCTAGCTGGTAGTAATTTTCATCCCGCAGGATCTGGAGATCCACCTGCAGCTGCCTGATGAGACCTTCACACTCCTGAATATACATGATGACATCTGACTCACATTGTACTGGTTGTCCTGATTCCAGGTGAGCAGCATCCTGAGACAGAAGAGAGAATAACAGTAGGAAAACTTCCATTGTCCCCACTCACCAGGACAGAGGGAGCCAAGGAGCCTACTGCAATTCCGAAAAAAAAAAAAAGAGAAGTAATACATCCAGATTCCTCAATTGCTAACTTCAGCCATTAGAGCAGAGGGTGAGAAGCAAAAAACATGTGACATAAGATGTGGGACAAAACAGTCAGAGACTTACAGCCTGCAGTGTATTCTTAGCTAGTGTCAGCTTTTCTTCACAGTTCAAAGCACCATTCTGGATTTTGTTTGCAATCTGTAGCAGCAATTCCAGCCTAAAATAAGATAAAACCATAGTCATGTGCAAGGTTCACAGCAACTCAATAAATAATGTCAGACCACTCTCAGGATCTGGACCCACCTCTCCACAGCTGGCCGAAGTGATTTCTCTCGCTCTAGCATCTCTATGATGAGCTTTCCCCACTCTTCTTCCACATCATTGGGGTGATAACCTTGAGGCAGTTTAATTCGGCCAAATTCAATCCACACCTGAAACAGATACTCTTTCAGTCCAAAAACACAGCCATGCCCTCTTGTCCCAGTTTTGATTTATTCTTTGCACATCATTTTTTGCCTCTTTACCCAGCCATTCAGCAGTTTTTCCTATTGTCTAACATGGAAAAACAATCAAATATGTATCAGGTTCTTCACCCTTGAGGTGAAGAGCAAAAAAGTCACCTCTAGAATGTAGAGGTGACTACAGTCCCTAGGACTACCTACTCTAAGTCCTTCTAATCCTTCTACACTTTCTATAAATCCTCCTTTCCCCTATAATTTTTATTCTGGCAAGGTTAAATTCTCATCTCTACAACTTCAAATTCTTTAGAAATTAAATTCTGAATAGAAGTCTTCTTTCCACCCTAGGAAAAGATTTTAGCTTCCCTCTGAGAAGCAGAAAAATTCATCCACAGAACTCAAGATTTCTGAATAAGTATAGGCCATTTTTCAATAAGCCCTTTAAAAAATAGAGATGCCTTGAACGAATTAGTATGGGTAAGCTAGGAAGAAAAAAAGAAAAAAACAAAAACAAATAGAGATGCCCAGGCGTGGTGGCTGACATCTGTAATCCCAACACTTTCGAAGGCCAAGAAGGGCGAATCACCTGAGGTCAGGAGTTTGAGACCAGTCTGGCCAACATGGGGAAACCCCGTCTCTCCTGGGAAAAAAAAAAAAAAAAAAAAAAAAAAAAAGTAGCCGGGCATGGTGGTGGGCACCTGTAATCCCAGCTACTCGGGAGGCTGAGGCAGGAGAATTGCTTGAACCCAGGAGGTGGAGCTTTGCAGTGAGCCAAGATGGTAACACTGTACTCCAGCCTGGGTGATAAAAACAAACTCCATCTGAAAAAATAAAATAAAACAAAACAAAATAAAAAATAAAAAGTAGGAAAGGCAGACGTACCCCTTTACCACACAATTTTTTAAGACCAGCCTGAGAGTGGTGCTATTATTTGTCACCAGGAGAGTACTGCTAACAGTGCAGTGGGAAGAGAATACAAGGAACCTATAATCAAGAAGCAACAACAGTACAGACCAGCAAACCCCAAGCTTCAGCAAAGGATAAGCTCTCTTACCTCTAGTAATTTATATAATTCCTCAATTCTTCCTTTTTCTCTCTCCTTGGCCAGAATTTCTGTTTCTTTGAAGTGTATGTATTGGTTATAAAGTGCCTATAAAATTAATATTTGGTGAATGAATAGACACAAACTGTAGGACCCAATTTTTCATACCACCTCATCCAGAAGCCAGCAGTGATAAGCTCGGAGACTTACTCCCTATAAAGATTTTACAAATACAATTTAAGTCCCTGACTTTACCTTTAGTTCAACGGGGTTTTGGGGAAAAGATTTATCTGACATCAGTAATGTATGCTGTTTGATCCAGGGAATGAGAGAGTCCACTCGACTTTGGTATTCTTGCCACCTGGAGTCCACTTCCTGTTGCCAGAAGGTAAATATCACACACCTGATTAGCAATAGCCACAACAAGCACAAGAGAAAGTAGCTGAGGCCACTCCAAACTATATAAAACCCTTTTCCTCTGATTGCCTAGATGGTGCTCACTTTAATGCTCACAGTACCAGTTTCAAAGCTCCTCAAGGACTCTCAGGATGGGATTCAATTTCCTGACACTAAAAAGGCTACAAATCAAGCTACTAAAAATATTCTGAAAAGAGCCATAATCTACCTAATCAAGCTGACATATGAGTGACTGAGAAAACACTTCCTCATCCTGAATTACAGCTGGGGATGAGAGGGACATTCTTCCAAATGGTCTATGCTAATTGTTACAAAATTAGCAATATCTAGACTCATTTCCAGGGCCAAGGATAATATCCACGTATAATAAAGATACTGGATATATGGTCTGATACAGAGCATAAAAGTGCTCTGTATACTGTGAGTGCTTAAGAAACTGTCTAAGCAATTCATTCCACTCAAATGAATCAAAGTCAGAAGGCCTTCTAGAAAAATGTTCTTTTACCGTAGCACTGATCCCTTCTCCACCCTCAGGGACTTTAGGGAAGGCATCGTAAATCGAAGACACATAAGTGATTACAGACTTTTCATCTGGAGATGGCACATCCACATCTGAGAGAGAATGGACAAAAAATTTCTTAGTCAGAACAAAGAAACTTGCCAGAAGGAGGAATACTGAATACATGTTCCTTACTTAAGTTCAGTAAACTCTCTCACCTTCTGCATCTAGCAGGCGAGTGACTCCCAGTCTTTCTGCCACTTCAAAAGCCTGTTCCAGATTCTCTCGGTTACTTTGGATTTGCACCCTCTCCATGTCTACCAGATCAGGTCTGTAAAAGTCCAACAAGGCACATGAAAGGCCATCATCTACACATCACACATGAGTTCACACAAAGAAAACCTCCTAAGGGTTCCCAGAGCTGAAAAACACTGAGTGAGTTAGAGAAAAGGCAGGAGGTTTTGAAGAGTACAAATTCCATTTTTTTTTTTTTTTTAAAGATGGGGTTTCACCATGTTGGTCAGGCTGGTCTTGAACTCCCGACCTCAGGTGATCCGCCTTGGCCTCCAAAGTGCTTGGATTACAGGCGTGAGCCACCACGCCCGGCCACAAATTCCATTTTTAAGTATACACCAGGGGCCCAGTGCTTCCTAAGGCCAAACTTAAACGTACAGTTTAGGTTTGTTGAATGTCATGGGGAAAATACCATCAATTAGCACTGGAAATTGGGGCATGTTTATGACCACTAAGAAGTCAATAATTTTGATTTTTGCCATTCAGAATTCCTATTTTCCTCACCTCACGTCAGCCATCTGCTGCTCCTAAACGACTCTAAGCAAGCCCTCATTCCATGCCCTTTGCACCTGTATTTCTTTCAGCTGGAACACTCTGACCCCAAAAGCCCGAATGACTCACCCCCTTATGGCTCTGGTCTAACATCCTGACCAAAAAGGCCATGTCTGACCACCCTGTCCAAAATACTACAAACCTCTGTCACTTTCTAATCCTGCCACTGCATTTACCACTGGTTGGTAGCATATATTTATTTCCTATTCTCCCTACTGAAAGGTTAAGTTCCATGAGAGTAAGAACTTCTGCTGTTTTCTTCACTGCTCCTTATGACCAGTTCCTAGAAAAGTAGTTAAATAAATATTCCTTTTTCAAATGAACAAATGAATCAAAGCTTTGATTCCTGGTTGAGGAGGTGGAAATAGCATTATAACTAATTACAAACAAGAGATGAGAAGAAGCCCTGCAGGAGCACAGAAATTCCGCTGTTCTTACCGGTATCGGTGAATAAGTGCATTGAACATCTTCCCATCACTCCAGCAGGAGGAAAAGTTGGTGCATTTGATTCCTGTGTAACCAGCTGTCACCTTCTGGGTCCACAGGAGTAGCTTCTCCTTGGCTGACATGTCCCCTGATTCTCCACTAATGTAGATGTCAGAGATCTGCCAAAAGACGAGACACAGAATAATTCATAAATAAGACAAAGTCTTTTGGCCTTCTCTTCTCCATCCATTATGGCTTGTAGTAAATTGAAGATCCAAGGCTGACAGCACTTTAGAGGACTATTCCAACATATATTCACCCACTTGGTAGTCAAAGAAATGCAAATTAAAACCATGAGACACCTATCAAACTAGGAAATGTTTGTTTTTAATGATATTATTCAAGATTGAGAGAATATCTAAAATTTGGTATTGTCATACACCGCCACTAGTGAAAATATAAATGGCATAACTTCTCTGGATGTCAGTTTTGAATCAAGTCTTCAAACACACATACAACTTGATGGGAAGTCATCAGAAATATAAACAAATAATTTTATAAATGAATATTTATCAAAGAATAATAAAAGTGACAACAGAAGTTTATAAAAAGCTTAAATTCTAATAAGGGATTGACTGGTTAACAATTACAGCACAATTATAGCAGAATAGAATTCTTTGTAGCACTTAAAAAAGTTTTGCAAAGAAAATTTTAACAACATAGGACGATTACCAAATTTAAGAAAAAGCATATAAACAATATATAGTAATCTTGATTATTTTGTTATTAAAAACATACAAAATATATTTAAGTATAGTCATATATATGTACACATGCATATACATACATCTATGCATGCAATACAGGTGCATATACTGTATGTATGTGAGAAATACAGCAAACTAATAATCATAGTTACCTCTTCAGAGTAACATTACAGGTGATTTTTATATTTTCCAAATTTTCTACATCCTGTACTTTTTTTTTTTGGAGACAGTCTTGCTCTGTTGCCCAGGCTGGAGTGCAGTGGCGTGATCTTGGCTCACTGCAACCTCCGCCTCCCGGGTTCAAGCAATTCTCCTGCCTCAGCCTTCCGAATAGCTGGGACTACAGGCATATGCCACCAGGTCTGGCTAATTTTTTGTATTTTTAGTAGAGATGGGGGTTTCACCATGTTAGACAGGATGGTCTTGATCTCCTGACCTCGTGATCTACCTGCCTCGGCCTCCCAAAGTGCAGGGATTACAGGCATGTGCCACCACGCCTAGCAATCCTGTACATTTTTATAAGAAGAAGAAAGCTACTTTAAGAAATCTCCAAAATACAGCACAAGACCTATTTTAGAGAGATTTTAATGCAGGTGAGGAAAAAGTGCATATCTCTGATTGCACACACACCTTGAATTGAGTCCTGTAAAGTATAAATAATACCTACCACCTTTTCAGGGTTGCTATGATAATCAGCAAGATTACACATTAAAGCCCCTAGCCCAAACTGAGGGTTATGCTCAACAAATAAGGGTTCCCTTCTCTCTTCCTTATTTGAAGGCTAGTCTTGCTTCAATTTTTACTTACCTAATTCCCACAACACTGACATTCTTTTATCATCATCTAATTTAATGTTATTTTGGGTCAGGCACAGTGGCTCACACCTGTAATCCCAGCTCTTTGGGAGGCTGAGGCAGGCAGATCACCTGAGGACAGGAGTTCGAGACCAACCGGGCTGACATAGTAAAACCCCATCTCTACTAAAAACACAAAAATTAGCCAGGAGTGGTGGTACACACCTGTAGTCCCAGCTACCTGAGAGGCTGAGGCACAAGACACTTGAACCCAGAAGGCAGAGGCTATGGTGAGCCAAAATTGTACCACTGCACTCCAGCCTGGGTGACAGAGCAAGACTCTGTCTCAAAAAATTTTTTTAAATAAATAAATAAATAAATGTTATTTTGCATTACTATTATTTCATATATTTAATCTTATCTCCCCTAGACTACAGGTTTCCTGAGAGTTGCTGGCACCACAACTTAACAAGTAGAGCAATATAAAACTGAACAGCAGCCCCTATGTGGGAGAGCTCCTCCCCACTGGACGTGTTCAAGCAGAAACTGGGATGCTGTGGAGGAAGTAACTTCCAAATCTGAGACCCACTGATCACAGTCCTTCAGTGTATTGTCCATTGCACTTAGCGTTGTGCTGGTTGTATACTGGGACCTTAACATGTTTTAATTAATAACTTGGTTTATGAATGAAATAAAAATAAGCAAATAAAAGTATTTGGGGGAGCAGGCATGGTGGCTCACGCCTGTAATCCCAACACTGTGGGAGGCCGAGGCAGGCGGATTACCTGAGATCAAGAGTTCGAGACCAATCTGGTCAACATCATGAAACCTTGTCTCTATTAAAAGCACAAAAAAATTAGCTGGGCATGGTGATGTGTGTCTCAGCCTAGGGAGGCTGAGACAAGACGATCACTTGAACCCAGGAGTCAGAGGTTGCAATGAGCTGAGATTGTGCCATTCCACTCCAGTCTGGGCGACAGTGCAGGACTCCATTAAAAAAAGGAAAAAAAAAAAGTATTCTGGGATAAAGCCCACCTAGAATCGGTAGACAGGTTACTTAGCGAATTCAAAGCAGTGTGTAAAGTGAAATAAGTTTAGGCTAGCATTATTTGTCTCCTCTGGAGTGGGACTATGAATAGTTTCATTTTTTCTTCCTATTCTTTTTTTTTTCAGAGTTTAAGTAATGATCACACTTTATTTTGTATAATAAAAACTATAAAAACAATATTTGTTAACAAGGAAAGACGTTAAGCCTTTGAATCAGACAGATACCTGTTTGAAAGAAGGCATCTACTAGAAATGTGACCTCAGGCAAACCATGTAAACCTCCTGGCCCAATTTTCACCATATTTAAAACAGGATAATAACTTTCTCAAAGGATTGTTATAAAGATTCGACGAGATGACGTAGGCAGTGCTTAGGGTACCTGCATTTCCTTCTCATAATAATAAGACAGCATATCCAGCACAATTTTTGGTCTGGGTGTTTGGGGCAGAGAAAACACAGGCATGACAACAGAACATCCTGTCTCTTAGTATTCTCTATCAGGTGCAGTACGGCGAAAGTAGTAGCTTCCCTTGTCGTCAATACAAGAGAGAAATCAATAGTAAGGTATCTCCAAGTGTCTGAATTTACAAACTCAACTCATAATAGATGAGAAATATGAGGAAAAAAAAAAAAAAAAAAAAACAGGACCAGGGACTTTAACACTTTATTTAGAAAAAAAGAAAGCTGCAGGCTACTAAATGTTACTAAGATAGATTGAAGAAAGACTGTGAGAATAGAAGAGTACGGGAAGCTTGCATTGAGTAGAGAAAAGGGAAGCCACAAAGTATTGCCTCCATGCCTGTGAAGGTGAAATTGTGCCCTACCTAGCAGATTCAAGGGACATGGGTTCACATGCCCTTAAACAGGTACATTTCTACCAAAGAAATCAGACTATTCTACTTTGATGATGCCAACTAATAAGACCATCCTACAAATCATTCCTCCACTCACCACCTCTCTGTTCTGACTCCATGTTCACCTGACAACCTTCAGATAATTATTTGATCCCCATATAAATATTCTAAAGCAACAAAAGCACTAAGTGGCCAATTCAAATAATCACTTGGCAGTTAAAAACTATTTTGTAAATTAATAAATTCACATCAATCAATTTCATGCAAATGTGATCAATGTGAGTCAATTCCCTAAAACCTAAGCAACTCCAGTTCCACTTGAGCTGGGGGAGGGGGAGCAGTGGGGAGAGAGGCTATGGAACTGCAGAGCCAAGGATCCAATAATGGATCATGGTGCCCAAGATACCATCCTGTGAGCCTCTTCCTATTAACAGCTTCTTCCTAGTACCAATTCTATTTCAGTTCCCCTTAACATTTCTAGCTGCCTATTTCACTGGCTAAATGCAAAATTGACATATCCCACTGCCTTCACTGTAACTGCTCTACATACATATTAAAGTAAAACATTATTGGGAACAGGAAATAGATTTGTTGAAGTAAAAAAAGACAGAACTTGAATAAGCAAAAACAAAATCTGAGTATTTGGGTTCCTTACCCAAAAACGAAATTCCAGTTAGTTAATTGATATTGTATGGTCATTATAGCCACAATCTTTCTGAAAACATCTCTCATCGCTTAGTATTTCTGCATATTGCATTAAAATTACTTCAATGAACAGCTTTACTTCAAATTTTAAACACAGTTGTAATGAGATAGATGGAACCCTAAGGGAAAGAAAAAAAAATGCCCTGTTTGGATTAGGGTCCTTCCTAGACTGTTAACTGGATGAGAAAAATGGGATTATCATCTCAGCCATCTCAGTAATTAAATTTGGCTTTCATCAAGCTCTTTCTGTATACTCACACGATATGTGCGCACAGTAATGTCCTCTGGGCTATGCAGAAGCTTCTACCTTAATCTCCCAAATGCAGAAATCCAGCTTCAGTTTCAGAGATCTTTCTCCCTCATCTGGGTTTTTTAAGCAGGAAGCCATTTGGAGAGGGGGGAACAGCCTCAATATTATGCCTAAGATTATGCAAATTCCACTTGAATTTCCTTTCAACTCACACTTCCCAAAGCTTGGTTAACTGCTTCTCTGAAGTATTCCCAGAAACTTAATGTTTTCCTAATAATTCAATAAGTAATGATTGAACAACATCTTAGCACTATGACAGGCACCGTAGAGAAGAACAAAAAAAGTCACACATCATTTATTTACTCTGTTAATATTTTACAAGCAACCATTATATTCTAGGAGTGTGCTTAAGTTCTTATAAATATCTCAAAATAGGCTGGGCATGGTGGCTCACACCTGTAATCCTAGCACTTTGGGAGGCCGAGGTGGGTGGATCGCCTGAGGTCAGGAGTTCAAGACCAGCCTGGCCATCATGGTGAAACCCCATCTTAAAAAAATAAATAAATAAATAAATCTCAAAATAAAAACACAGCCTCAGGCCTCAAGCTCAAGCAATTTAATCAGGGAGACAATTTATTATACAAAGAGATCAATGTTGTGATAGAGGTAAGCAAGTAATCCAAACTAGCAATGCCAGGGGATTGCTCAGCAACAAGAACATCTGTGCTGAGTTTTAAAAAGTAAGCTTGTCAGGTAAAAAGGTGGAAAACAAAAAACAAAGACATGCTTGCCCTCCAAGAACTTAGTTGAGACATGCCATAACTGACTAACATATGATTATCCCAAATATTTTCCCAGATGACAACAGATGTGTGAAAGTAAAACAGGAGAACAAGAAGGGAAGCTCTGTGGTCCTCCTGAATATACAAACTTTTAGAAATTTATTTATACATATACACATATTTAAAATTAAGCAGTATATTTAATGCATTTAGTATTAATGTATTTTCTGCCTTTATAATTTCAAAAACACACATTATTCAAATCTCACATGCATCTTTACCATCAATGTCTTTTCCTTCAATAAAGCTACTTTTTGAGTGAATTTTCTAGAAAATACTGTCTTCTTTTTAAGATCTTAAAGTTAACAACAGCACTTTTCTGAGTCTACATTATCTCTGTGTATTTCATTTCAAACCACAAGAATCCAGTTGTATAACCCTGGATTAGGGATTTTTTTTTTTTCATTTATTCTATTGTGTTTATTTATGATCCCCATAAGGGGTGTGTGTGTGTGTGTTTCATATGCAATGTGAGTGATTAAAAAATTTTTTTTGATGTTAAGGCTTGTATAAAGTTAACTTTCAACACTTCCAATTAGGAGATTATATCCCCAGCAACAATAACTAAAACTTTCTTAGATTTTTGGTTTCTCTCTTTTGTTGAATCAATTATATCAGCTGATCTCTACAAAAAAATGATTACTGAGTGAACTAGCAGATGGTGACAAGGTTTATTCATCCTTTTTCATGAACTGACTACAAGCTCCCTGGGAGCCTAATAACAAGAAATGCTTTATAAGAAGTAAAATATAAAGACAATCTTTCTTTTCTGAAGTCTAATTTCTGGAGGAAAAAAAATCTCACCTTGTATCTATGGTAGGTCACATGAGAGAGTTAAACAAATTTAACACAAAAAAAGCAATAATTATAGTAATATCCAATATAGAATCTCAGCAGAATGGAAAATTACTGTGGGATGGAGTGATCAAGATCTCCAGAAGTATAATTTAAACTCATCTTTGAAGGGAATTACAGAATAGACAGAAAGAAAAGAATTCCAGGTAGAAACTGGATGTAAACAAAGTTTACACAAGAAACTGAGATAATGTGAAACAAAAATAGTAGTTAAATAGTAGTTAAAATGAGAAGGTTCAAGCTGGGAACCCATAGGAGAAAAGATAAGATAGATTACAAAGGAACTGGAATATCCAGCTGAGGAGTTTGGACTTTGTAAGTCTCTCAGTGAATAAGTTGTTCTGAGCAAGTAGGTACTCGATTATTCTGTCCTCAAGTTTCTAGCTGACTTCCTCCCCTACTACAGATGAAGCATCAGACCTTGAAAACTTACAAGAAGCAAAGGAGGGCTGGGTGTGGTAGCTCACTCCTGTAATTCCCACCACTTTGGGAGGCCTAGGCAAGAGGATCACTTGAGGATAGGAGTTCAAAACAAGCCTGGGAAACACTGTGAGACCCTGTCTCTACAAAAAATTTAAAAATTAGCTGGGCGTGGTAGTACTCTTCTATAGTCCCAGTTACTTGGCAAGTTGAGGTGGGAGGTTTAAGCCCGGGATGTCAAGGCTGCAGTGGGCTATGACTGCACCACTGTTCTCCAGCCTGGGTGTCGGAGCAACATTCTTTCTTAAAAAAAAGCAAAAAAACCAAAAAACAAAACAGCAGCACATGAGGGCACAATGCAGTAGTTCTACAAATGCCTAGCTAGTGGGATCCAATGGCAGCTGTGTTGGTGAGGAACAGAGTGAAAGGCGTTTATTACCAATTTGAGAGTTAGGTAAAGGTCAGGGAGTGCTCCTTTCAGTTTTCATATTCAGAGTCCTAGAGGTCTCACTAGGGAATACAATTAGAATGGTAACCCTAGGTCATAGAATATGGGCATTTTTCAACTCTACAAAATATTGTCAAACTACTCTCTAAAGAACAGTACCAAATTATACTTCCACCCACATGCCATAAGAGGTTTCCCCATCACTTTACATCCTCGCCTACATTTGGTATCTTCAGAGTTTTATTTTCTGTCAATCTGATAGGTATAAAATGGTACCTTAGTTGGGCATGGTGGTATGCTTGTAGTCCCAGCTACAAGATTGAGTCCAAGTGCTACAGTGCGCAATGATGGTGCCTGTGAATGGCCACTGCTCTCTAGCCTGGGCAATGTAGCTGAGACCTCATCTCTTTTAAAAAAAAATATGGTATCTTGTTGTTGTTTGATCTTTATATCCTTATTAGTAAAAATGAGTCTTCTTATGTATATGAGGTATTTGGATTTCCCTTTTTTGTGAATTACTTATTCCTGAGCTTTCCCCTATTTTTCTACAAGGGTGTTAGTTCTTTTCTTATTCATTTTCTTGTTCTTTTAAGTAATAATATTAATTAGCATTTATTGTGATTACTTGTATTAATTCCTATTACTCTCATAACTCTACCAAGTATATACTATTCTTTTTTTTTTTTTTGGTCTTTTTTTTTTCCCCTTTTTGTGAAGAACAGGGTCTTGATATACCACCCAGGGAGGTCTTGAACTCCGGGGCTCAAGCTATCCTCCTGCCTCTGCCTCCCTAACAGCTGAGATTACAGGTGTGAGCCACAGTGCCTGGCAAGGAGATACTATTCTTATCTTCAGTTTACAAATAAGGAAATTGTGGCACAGAGAAGTTAAGTAACCTGATCCAAGTTATACTGCTAGCAAGTGGTGGAACTGGGATTCACACCCAGCCAATCTGGCTCCATGCTCTTAATCACTTCACCTATAGGACAGTAATCCCTTTTCAGTACAGTCGTCCATGGAGAATTGGTTCTAGGACATCCCTTGGATACCAAAATCTGCAGATACTGAAATCCACGAATGCTCAAGTCCCAGATACAAAATGGTGTAGCATTCACATACAACCTATATACATCCTCCCAGATACTTTAAATCATCTCTAGTTTACTTATAATTCCTAATACAATGTAAATGCCAGTAAATAGTTGTTATCTTGTTTAAGGAATAATGACAAAAAAGAGTCTGTACATGTTCATTACAGACGCAATTTTTTTTTCAGAATATTTTTCCATCCATTACGGGTTAAATTTACAGACATGAAACCCACAATGCAGACAGCCAACTGTATATGCATTATATAATAATTTGACCAGTATTACTACGTTTTTATTTTTATACAACTTATTTTGCCTAACTTTCCATTTTATCTTATACAATTTTATTTTTGTTAACTTTCATATTTTATTTTTATACAATGTTTTTCTTAACTTCCTATTTGGAATGGAAATTTTCAAATATATACAAAAGGAGACAGAATAGAATAATAAGCTCCTATGTACCCATCACCCAGTTTCAACCATTATCAACTCATAGCTAATCTTGTTTCATCTACACTCCACCCACTTCACTCTTCCCTCATTATGATGAAGTAAATCTCATATTTTTCTCTAAAAACATTTCAGTATGTATCTCTAAAGGGTTTTTTTTTTTTTTTTTGAAATGGAGTCTCACTCTGTTGCCCAGGCTGGACTCAGTGGCTTGATTTTTTTTGTATTTTTGGTAGAGACAGGGTTTCACCATGATAGCCAGGATAGTCTCCATCTCCTGACCTTGTGATCCACCCACCTCAGCCTCCCAAAGTGCTGGGATTACAGGGGTGAGCCACCTCACCCAGCTTTTCTTTCTTTCTTTCTTTCTTTCTTTTTTGAGACAGAGTCTCGCTCTATCTATTGCCCAGGCTGGCTGGACTCAGTGGTGTGATTTCAGCTCACTGCAACCTCCGCCTCCCAGGTTCAAGTGATTCTCCTGCCTCAGCCTCCCCAGTGGCTGGGACTACAGGTGCGTACCACCATGCCTGGCTAATTTTTGTATTTTTAGTAGAGACGGGATTTAACCATATTGGCCAGAGTGATTTCAAACTCCTGACCTCGTGATCCACCCGCCTCGGCCTCCCAAAGTGCTGGGATTGATTACAGGCATGAGCCACCGTGCCCAACTAAAAGGCCTTTTTAAAAACATAATCGCAATGCTATTGTTACACCTAAAAAATGATTCTTTAGTAACATTTTTAATTAAGCAAAATTGTTTGAAAAAGAAACAAAATCCTGGCTGGTGTGGTGGCTCATGACTGTAATCCCAGCACTTTGGGAGGCTGAGGGGGGCGGATCACAAGGTCAGGAGGTCAAGATAGCCTGGCCAACATGGCGAAACCCCATCTCTACTTAAAAAAATACAAAAATTAGTCTGGCATGGTGGTGGGCACCTGTAGTCCCAGCTACTCCAGAGGCTGAGGCAGGAGCATTGCTTGAACCTGGGAGGTGGAGGTTGCAGTGGGCCAAGATTACACCACTACATTTCAGTCTGGGTGACAGAGTGAGACTGTCTCAAAAAAAAAAGAAAAAAGAAAAGAAAGAAAAAGAAAAAGAAACAAAATCCTCTCTTAAACAAAGCTCTAACTATAACTTTACCTTCTGCATTCCCCCACTAGTGTCATCTGGTTAATTTTGCTTTCTTCATACAGTACAAACCCAGCATTAGTAAAACAACTCTCCCTATAATTAAAAAGGACAACTGGGAGAAGGAAATCTGTAAACTGAAAAAAGGCTGGGCCCAGAAGATAATACACCAACCAACCTCTTTCTTATCATTTCTAGCCCCCAGTATTATCTGACTATTCACCTAAAATTGGAGAGACTCTAAGGTTTTGTGGCAAGGACATTGATACAGAGGAAAAATTCTTCATTAAATGAGATTTGCTAACCATGTGGCAGGAGATTGGCACAAGATGAGGAGGGGGAAGGGATTTTCAAAAATGTTCCTTGTTCAAATAAGCCAGGTATTAATAGTATGGATATTGAAAGCTGCTGGGAATAGGGAATCCTGAGAGAAGAAATGGGCCAGAGAAGAAGACCTTTATTTGACAGCAAAGTGCAATTGCTATTAGCCTGTTCCCATCCAGCTCCAAATCCTAGGCTACTTATCATTCTGAAAACATACTTGTCAGCTGACCCTTGTCATCTTGCTTCTGTGCGATTTCTTGACAAAAGAAGTATTAACTATACTAGGTTAATAGAAAAGCAGATTATGTATATTCTATTATCTAAACCCTACACTAGCAAGATGCAGAAACAGCTTCCATTTTTCTCTATCCTGAAAAGCAACAAAACCCACTGTGAAGTTTATGTCTATCCATAGCCTGGTTTCACTACCATCAACAAACCCTGGACTAATGAACAGAAGACAGAATGTGGCTAGAACTCAAATTATTTTGTGAGGATAGTTACTACTCTGACATATTAAAAACAAGCACCAAAAAAGCAAGCAAAAAACAACTCAATTGGACTGCCAGCTGTCTCCTGTTTAGACAGGAGCTGGTGTGTGAACGGCAGCAGCTGCTCTTCTGACCCGTGCCCTCCCAGCGCTCCCACTCTCAGCAGAGATGCTCTTGCCCTGCATATCAGTTTTAGTATGTGTTGCCCTCTCTGTGTCTTTGGCTGCTACTGTCCTCAAGCCTCTGAACAGTCTGTTAGGGAGGGGAGCAGCACCCTCAGGACTAGTTCCTTCAGAGACTAGTGAGGGTTGCGGCTTCTTGGCCTTAAGGACTTTGATTCTGAAGAATCACTGTCCAAAGGTTTCTCCTACCAATCTTTTAAGACTCCTCACAGACTCATGCAGAACATTCCCTTGCCAGTATAGAGATCCAGCCCATACAAAGGTGCCGTTGCTATCTATGGTCTATTATCTAGGATTGATTTTACTAGGAGTTCCTAAAACTTTGCATGCCAAGTTTCTGAAAATCTCACACTCAGTTTTACAAGCATGTGCCCTATAGTGTTATGATGACTACACAATTTCAATTTTAATGCCAGTTGTACTAAAGAACAATCAGTTCCACAGTTGGTTTTACCCCAACTACTCTATATCTGTTCCAACTTTTACAAGATGAAAGTTGACTTTGACATTTTAAAAAATCTGATGAAGCACAAATACTCATTGGTATGGTTTCAATCTATGTCCCTACCAAATCTCATGTTAAATTGTAATCCCTAATATTGGAGGTGGGGCCTGGTAGGAGATGGCTAGATCATGAATCATGAAAGTGGATTTCTCATGAATGGTTTAGCACGATCCCCTTGGTGCTGTTCTCATGAAGGTGAGTGGGTTCTCATGACATCTGGTCATTTAAAAGTGTGTGGCATCTTCCGCCCACAACCTCTTCTTCCTGCTCTAGCCAAATGACATGCCTACTGCCCCTTTGACCTTCTGCTGAGATTGTAAGTTTCCTGAAGCCTCTCGGGAAGCCAAGTAGATGCCAACGTCATGCTTCCTGTATAGCCTTCAGAACCGTATGCCAAGTAAACCTCTTTACTTTGTAAATTACCTAGTCTCAGGTGTTTCTTTATAGTGATGTGAGAACAGTTTCACACACTCATGCACCCCATCCCAGTAATTTCATTGCCTCTCTTCCTACCATAACACAATTATCATACTCCCCCTCCCCACATATCCATTTTTATATGAGGCCCAAGAAACCTCTTGCCCATTCATATAATAGACATTTTTCAATGGCCATTTTTTCTTCGAACTGTTGGGAGTCTCCAAACTCTAATAACAGAGTGCACTAAGATGGGGCTGTCTGTTGGGGAAATCTATCCCTAACGAGGAAATTTTAAGCAGAGATTAGCTTAAAATTTTTATCTTTCCTCAGCCTCACACTGCTAGTGATAAGCAGGGCACCAGTAGGTGGATCATATCCCTGCTCTGCAAACATCAGGGCTCCTGTACAGAATCGGCAGCCCACATGTAGACAAGGAAAGTGCCCTACCTCATTTTCTACCTCTTGCCCTTTGAGGCAGAAGTCTTTAACTCTTCTGCTGCAGAGGCCAACATGCCAGTAAAAGTTCTTTAGCCATTGGTGAATTATAACTTTGGTCACCTACACAATCACAGACCTACATGCCAGATGCAGTGCTACCCATGGTCTTGCTGAGTCCTTACCTCGGTGTTCAGATCTCTGAATTCTCACTTGTTCCTTGACCTTTAAAAACATTCACAGCAACAGCCATCACCACCACCCACCACCAGCAGCACCACTATCACCCTCATCACCACCAAAATAAAAAATATTTTTATTTTGAGGAATATATCCTCAACATGTTCCTCAAAATAAAAACACGTTAAAGCCCTAAACAAGTCCATCACAAAACAAACTTTTCTAGCCTTAAACCTTCAAACTGCCCTAACCTACCCTCCCCCCAACTAATCCCCAGATAACTCTGTGTTCCTCTCCTCTAATCCTGGAATTAGGAGCCAAAGAAGGATGAGGCCTCTCCACCTATACAAATACTGAATGAGTGTTGCCATCAAAAATTTCCCCACAGAGATAGGATTGCATCAGCTCTAATAAGAACATCGCTCCTACTAGATGTGGGGAAGAGCAAGCATGACAATAGCTACCTTACCCCTTCCACAATCATTCCAGAGACTCATTCCAGAGACTCAGTTAGGCCCCTCCCCATCGTCCCTTGTGCTACACTACAATTTCTTGTAGCAAGGAAGCTGGTAAACAGACCTGCCTGAGAGTAAGTACTATCTAACATTGTACCTCGAGAGATAATCCCACCAGATAGATCAAGCAATTATGTTGCTTGGCTACCCAGAATCAAGGACTCCCCAGAGACAAGTCTTGGTTTCAAGCATCAGGGGGCATATCTAAAATAGATTCTGCTTGCTGAGCTCCAGCAGACACTAACTCACATGGGGGTGAGTTTGAGAAACACCAACACCCTCACTGCTCACCCCACTCAGCTTTAATACGTTTGAGGGCCAAGAATCCAAACAGCAGTTTGATTATCCATTGAACATGCCCACCTACCTCTTCCAGACCCCATGATGGGGTGTGGCTTGCCTCCAGAGAAAGAGTACCATCCTCTTCTGAGAAGGAAGTAGAGCTCTTTTCAGGTTCTGTATCTTTAGCCTGGATCTCGTATATGTGCGGCCCATCACTGCCATAGCCAGAGGAGGAGGGCAAAATGCTCACAGTCACACCACTGACAGACAAATCACTCTGAGAAGTAGGGAGTCTGGAATCCTGGGGGGGCACTCGACCCACATGGGCAGGCTCCGTGCATCTTTGGCCTCCAGGCTGGTCCAGTGGTGATGAAGAAACAGAACATTCTGCAATCCAGGAACCTGTCTGAGGGGCAACTGAAATACTCTTGGTTCCTTCCTCCACACTCCAGCCCTCTGAAAATTGTTCTTGATTTCCTGTATCAGTGAGGTAGTCTGTCCTAGGCAAAGCACAGCTCCGAAACCCAAGCTGAGTATTTCCTTTCTCCACTGCAGTCTCTCCTTGCAAAGGCAGCAGCACAGCCCTGCTGCTGCAGGATGCTGTCCTCGGAAATTCCACCAGTTGGCTCACTGACTTCTCGCAGTTCCTTTCTGCTGGGTTATCAAGCAGGTGAGCAATGACAGTCATCCCCTCTTCCAAGGAATCCCAGACCCCTCCAGCAACTGAAGACTCGTTCTCCAACAAAAGGTGGGCAGTCTGGACCTCCCCTTGGAATCTCTCCTTTACCTGTACTATCATCCCCTGATCGACTGCCCGTGAGTTGGGGGTTGAGTCCACAGGCAGCAAAATATCTGGGGAGGTATGCTCTAACCCTCCCACTCCGTCCTCCTTTTGGAGACTCACTGTTAACTTCGTTAGGGTTTCAGTCTCTTCAATGACTCCAGTTCCTTCCGAGGTTTCTTCCTGGTGAGATGCCTCTGGAGTAGGGATTTTCTTCCCTCTCCACTTCCTTTTGAACCGAACCCTTTTCTTAGGAGATATGGGAGCCTTCTCAGGAATAGCTATTGACTCTTTCGGCTCCTTAAAACAGCCCAGTGAATTTCCCATTTCCTTCCTCTCCTAATCTCGGCAAAAACGCAGCTAAGCCAGTCCTGGGATCCCACAGGAATCCCAACCTTGGCTTCATCGGATTTGATGCACATTTAAAAACATGCACTATGCCAGGAATCCCTCCAATTCTTTCTCCCTCCCTCCCCGCCTTTCTCTGTCTCTTCTAGCCGCTGCCGATTCAGACAGCCATCTTACAGGCTCAGAGCTGCAACAAGACAAATTCAAAGCATCTCACTGCAGTTCAGAAATCACTTGACCTAAAAGCAGACAGAAACCGGATTGGCTGCAGCTTCCTCTCTCCAAATATGAGGTAATTGGAGCACTGCCCTCAGTAACACAAACAGAAAGCAAAAAGGAGCTAGAAACCAGGGGAGGGGAGAAACTAGGGAGGGCCAGGAGGAGGAGGGAAAATGTAAGAGTAAATGGAAAAGGGAGGGAAAAAGAAGAGAGGCCATGGCAGAAGGTAACGTGGAAGAAGGGGGAGGAGAATAGTATCAAAGAGGGAAAAAGCAAAACCAGCTCGGCTGGTACCAACCAGCAAGGGAAGGGAAGGGAAGGGCCAAGAAGAACTAGGGCTGGTGAAGCTGCAATTATGGCTCCCAAACTACAAAATGAAATAGATTTTAAGTGTCGCACCAAGATGCCCAAAACAAAATATCAAGAATATACACATATCCTGAATTTTTTCAGGTCAGAAGACAACAAAATTATTTTAATCAAATTATAACCTGAAGAGACCAGAGCTGCCTTCTGACAGTTAAGAAAAGGAACACAGACTTTAAAGATCTAGCCTTCTGGAGCACTTATTTCCCTCCTTTTTCCTATAAAAGAAAAGAAAGATCTGTTAATTCTGCCAGCCAATGACACAGACAGGAAAAATCTGGAAGTTGGTTTTGAGTATAGGAATCCTTGGTAAAAAGAATATCACTTCTAAATACAACAGACAAACAGGGTCTATGATAAACAATATTTGACATAAATGTTCAACAGCAATTATTAATACTGTCACTGCTAATATCTAATATATTTTTTTGCACTTGCTGTGGGCCAAGCACTGTGTAAAACTATTTACATGGATTCTCTTATTTAATTCTTACAGTCACTATATGAGGTCAAAACTATTATTTTATATTTTATGGGTAAAGAAACTGAGGTTTGGCCAGGAGCAGTGGCTCACGCCTATAATCCTAGCACTCTAAGAGGCCAAGGCGGGTGGATTCCCTGAGCTCAGGAGTTCGAGACCAGCCTGGGAAACATGGTGAAACTCAGTCTCTACGAAAATACAAAAAATTAGCTGGGTGCAGTGGCACACGCCTTTAGTCCTAGCTACTTGGGAGGCTGAGGCAAGAGAATTGCTTGAATCCAGGAGGTAGAGGTTGCAGTGAACCAAGATCATGCAACTGCAGTTAAGCCTGGGCAACAGCATGAGACTCTGTCTCCAAAAAAGAAAAAAGAAACTGAGGTTTAAGAAAGTTGATTAATAAGGCCAGGCGTGGTAGCTCACGCCTGTAATCTCAGTACTTTGGGAGGCCAAGGCGAGTGGATCAAGAGGTTAGGAGTTCAAGACCAGCCTGGCTAACATGGTGAAACCCTGTCTCTACTAAAGATACAAAAATTAGCCAGGCGTGGTGGCGCACGCCTATAATCCCAGCTACTCAGGAGGCTGAGACAGGAAAATCTCTTGAACCTGGGAGGCAGTGGTTGCAGTGAGCTGAGATTGCACCGCTACATTCCAGCCTGGGCAACAGGGCAAGACTCCATCTCAAAAAAATAAAGTTGATTAATAGCCCAAGGTTACACAACTAGTAAGTGGCAAAGCCAGAACATGAACCTCTGTAAATTTTAAGACTTTTAATTTCAACCCCAACTATTCTCTTCTAACTACTGCAGGAGTGGAAGTCTGTACTCAGTTGCCAGTTGTATAAAATAAGAAGTTCCCCCACTGAATTGGCAACTAGACTCTGCATAGACCAAGAGCTCAAAGAGATAACACTTGTTGCCATGTGGGAGTAAGAGAAGAAGCTGCTAAAAGGAGGCTCAGGTGGTTTTTATTCCAATTGCAGTAGGGCAGGAAATCTAAATTTCAGATTGTAAAAGTTATATTCAAAAACCTTGTGATGATGTCAATGAAGATTCCTCCCCCCCAATTTTTTTAGTATAGTGTCTGCTATATGGGAAAAGACTACAACCCAAAGGGCTGCGAATGGGGGAAAAATTATATGTGTTTCTTTCCTACTGCAGTTATTTATTCTGCACCAAAAGGATCCACGCCACACAGCAGAGAGCAACAGCCTGCTTGGCTCCATGCAAACCATAAAGACTTAACACTAGTATAGCCTTAACTACCTTTCCTGGAGACCTAAAAGAAAAGGGAAGAACACAAAAGGAAAGCAAAAAGAAGCCCTAAAGTATCAGCTTTTACACAATCCCTTCTAAGGCCCTACTGATGTCCCATGTGTCTCACAACTACAGTATGTGTTCATCCTCTAAGCCTTATCCTTAAGGCTGATTGCAAAGCTGCAGCACCATCTTATGGCCATCACAAAATTGAGCAAGAAATAAGTAGATAGCATGGAAGAGAAACTCAGGCTACTGCAAATCATTTAATTAGCAGATAATCTGACATTACAATATGAAGTTTTCTAGGCAGGTACCAAGCCTTCACTCCTCCAATGAAGAAACATGGACCTGAGCTTGAATTTTATGAATGACATGCAAGCAAACCAAAATCCTGAAACTGATCAACTCATGGGCAAGGAGAGGGCTGCTTAATATGACTACTACTGCTGTAGAGTTTCTCTGGAAGCCCAACAGAATGTAGCAAATTTAATTCTGTAACCTCATTCTTTTTTTAAAAATTTCTGCATATGTCAGACAAATCAGGCCTTCATATCCTTCTGCTCCAGAGAAAAACTGGTCTAGGAAAAGGAGCAGAGATTTCAGTAAGGTGGACCTAGGTTCAACTTCCCAGCTCTGTTAACTTATAAGCTAAGTAACTTAGCTAGTTTATTAGATGGGTCAGTTTCCTTACTTGTAAAATGTGCATATTACCACCTACTTAATGGAGTTGTTGATGAGATAATGTCCATAAAATACTTGGCTCAGTACTTGATCTACAGTAAATTTCTTTTCTTCCCATTTATTACTGGAGCTAAAAGTTATGAGACACCCCAGACCCCTGGAGGATCCTAAGATATAGTTAGTCCCTGACTTAAAATGATCCAACTTATTTCTTGACTTTCCAATAGTGGGAAATCTAGATGCATTCAGTAGAAACTGTGCTTCAAATACTCATACAACCATTCTGTTTTTCACTTTCAGTACAGCATTCAATAAATTACATGAGTTAGTCTATACTTCATTATCAAATAGGCTTTGTGTTACATGATTTTGGCCAAATGCTCAATGGCAAACTAATATGTGTTCCGAGTACATTTAAGATAGGCTAAAGTATAGTTTTCAGTAGGTGTATTAGATATATTTTCAACTAAGTTAATTCTGATTACAAGAACTTTCTCCTAGACCTTTTCTTATCTAAGCTGGTCTCTTAACATAAGACCTGCTTGCCTTCTGGGAAAGCACACTTTGAGGGCTTATACATTCTTTATGCTTTCTCCTAGATAACTGTTTACTGCCCATAGGTCTCCCACAGAGATAGCCAAGAGTGAAAGACTCTAAAGCAAAAGAACTCATTCATTCATTCATACCACAAACACAAATGGGGCCTCATCCATATGCCAAGCACCAAGTGCCATAAAGTACACAAAAATGTAAACCTCAATTCTAGCCAGCTAAGACCTCCCTGTTTTTTGAAAATGCTACGCATACACTAGTATTG